CTGTGCACCTGCGATTCGGTCGTACTTTTTGCACAGTGTAGACTTGGCTCTAGACCGAATAGAGTCACAGATCCTCCTTGATCCGATCTCAATCCTCTCCCAAGTTACAACGGGCAAGATACGCTTACAAACAACTTCTTTTGCATTACATTTTACAATGCTACTATACAACAAATGTTGCCTCTGTCTAATAACGATATTCAACATCATTTTGTAAACCTTCTCAATTCTTGGATCGTTATCAGGAAGGCCACATGTCGATCCTATTTTCTTGTTTAAAATGAATGCCGGTAAGGTATTTTCTTTCTTGCATCTTCGAAGGAATCGAACGGATTGTCGTAACACTACAATCTTCTGGCGGAGTGATAACGTCTCACGCACCAACGAGAGCATATTCGGCGGGATGTCAGTAAGTAGATCAAAAGCTCTCTTATCTTTGAACCTGGGCATTTTGATATGTGTCAGTAAATGATTGTTGTGCCGAAACCAGGTTTCTTGGTGGATGTTTATTCGACCGACGTTTCGACGGGCTCGTCTTTTTCAAGAGGTCTGAACGCAGATTATAGGTTTTTGGATCTGACCAGTACGCCGCCAAGAGCCTCCTCCACGAGTGCTAGTCTAGACCTTATCGGAGGATAGCAGCCAGCGGGAAACCATCAAAGTTGTGAAACGAGCTAACCTTAACTCCACCGCATACCAGTAAGTCCGCACAATGGGACAATAGCGGACGTCACTGAGTGTCACCCAGTGAGTCAAGGGTATTTATGTGCGGCTGTTCAGATTGCATAGCGGTATGAACGGCAAGAGATCACTGTTGATTGACACGCATTCATTCTTAGCATTCATTTTAGGATTCCTCGTAAGTATCCATGCTGCCTCAAGGATCTTTCTTGCGCAAATCTCAGTCTCGTAAGACAGAATGGTACATTTGACTTTGAAGTCATTTCCACCATGTGCCTCAGCTTTGTGTCTTCCCAACGGTGTTGTTAATATCCCACGTCTTTTGCTAGCCAAATGTTCCTTTAGTCTTACACCCAACGCTCTACCCGTCTCTCCTATGTAGCAGTCTTGGCAGCTCAAACATTCCAGCTGGTATATCACACCTGCCTTTGCACAATCCCCAACATTGCCGTACGGGCATACGATGCATTCATCTACTATGCATTCGTAATCGTAGAGTCTATTCCGAACTAGCTGCTTCTTAATGTTATCCTTCGGTACCTCAACCAATATCACATCATTCTGCAGTTCAGCTCGGTGAATGCATCGTCTAATTGCCGCGCTAACCTTATCTGATATAAAAGGGATGCAAAGTGGAACCTTATTGTTATTCTGTTTACGGATAGAGGTATCGGAAGGTGCAAAAGTTTTGCATCTGTGTTCAATTGGTACATATCCGTTACTCTGCGCAATTTGTAGTGCCAGCTTTCGTGATTCGAGCTGCTCTTCGTGGCCTGTGCATACCGCTGTAGTAGTTTTCATCATGTTGCGGATGACCGCTCGTTTTGTTGCTGCAGGGTGAGCTGACTTTGCGTGGATCAAGATGTTTTTGGATGCTTCCTTACGATACCATTTAACATGGAGTACACCATCAGATAATCTGATCTGTGTGTTCAAATAAGGGAGCCATCCGTTACGTGGTGTTTCTCTAGTGAACCGTATGTACTGGGACTGTTGGTTTAAGATCGCAAAGTACTCATCCATTTCGGCTTGAGTCGATGTTATTATACAACAGTCGTCGATATATCGACAGTACATTAACGGCATACGCGCAAGTACTGGCTGCTCGATTTTACTCATATAACATACTGCGAGAACAGGTGCTAGGCGTTGACCCATAGCCAGTCCTCGTATCTGGGAGAAATATCTCCCAGACCACTTAAAGATGTTACATCCCAAGCATGCTCGAGTGAGGGCCAGTATTTGCGTTTTGTTCAGACCAAAGGTGTTTATGGCTGTTATATGTTTGTCCAACATTTCAGAGAGAGCGTGTAATGCGTCATCGTTATGGACATTAGTGTATAAAGAAGTCACATCGAAGGACTCCATAATGACACTATGTCCAAACTTCGTGTTACGCAGCTGCTCTAGAAATTGATGAGTATTGGACAAATGAGCGGGCACCTTTGGCAGAAGCTGGTTCACGATCTTGCAGATAAACCACGATATGCGATCCGTAGGTCCTCCAACGCAGCTAATTATGGGCCGTATCTTATAAGACTCCGGTGACATGGCGCGCATTTCGTGTGACTCAATTTTATGCGTTTTTACCAAGTGGTAAAAAACTGGACAATTTGGATTCTGTGACTTCAATCTACTTATCAGTCGCTCATCGAGACCTGCAGATCTGCCCACGCTCATCCAAATATCGTTCAATTTTTTACACTGGAGCTGGTAGTCTTTCATAGTTGCAGGTTGGTAAATTGCCGTATCTGTCAAGTGCAACTCAGCGATTTCTCTATCCAGCTTTTGCGGCATCACGACAAATTCGCCACCTTTGTCACTTATGGAGATGCGGATAGATTGCTTTGCGATGGAATCGCGCAGCTCTTTCAATCCTTGCCATTGACGACGCGTTAGATTCGTTGTGTGGTCGTGCTCAAACTTTCTTAACACATCGAAAATTTCCATCGAAAGCATACGAAATTTGCGGTCAGCAGTTGGGGTAGACTCCGGTTCCTTATAAAAAGAACGAGGGAAGGGCACCGTTGCTAAGGCATAAGTATCACTTGGCAAAGATAGCTGGGGCTTGTTCTGTTGTTTCTCACGAATTCGTAGCGAATCGCGTAATCGGTAAAGAGCTCCCACTACTTTTCGATAAACTGAGGAATTGATAGTTTGCGTTGGTGAAAATGAAGGACCAAGATTGAGGAATTCATGAGCATACGCAGACAGTTGAACGTCGCCTATCACAGTGACTCTCGTCGTTTCTACTTTACCGTCAGATATATTTTCATCGTGAGTTTTCAGTGAGCTGTTCAAAACTGTTGCATGTTTTTCACGCTGTGCACCTGCGATTCGGTCGAGTACTCTGCGTTGATACCACTGCTT